ATAAAAAATAAAAAATAAAAAATAAAAAATAAAAAATAAAAAATAAAAAATAAAAAATAAAAAATAAAAAATAAAAAGAAGTTTACTAACGATCAGCTTGGCTGATTTTATTATTTTTTTTTATAGTCAAGGTTAGCCTCTTCGGCTTATTGTTTTTATTAGATATTAGGATCATATAGTGCCCTCAAAGAGGCCCTAGACAAGTACATTCTGATGAGGATATATTTTAGCCATATCTGCATCTTTTGGATGCCTAATTAAGTAATCTACCTATGTGCTAAGTGCTATACTAGATGCTGTACCTGTAATCTATTATTACTTTAATTATTTGATTAAATTTTTTGATCTAAATTTCCTATGTCAATCCATCTAATCTCACTCAGAACATGCGATACATAAGTCAGTCCAAGTTCTAAGATCATCGTGTCTATCTATAGGATTATCAGCATAGTTAGGGACATAACAAAAATCAGGTGATTTTTTAGAGGCGGAGGGGAGTAAAAATTTTAAAATTATATATGAGGATCTGATCAAATTATATATTAAGAGAGAGGAGGGGGGTAAGCTTCTGATAAAAAAAAATTAGGTGATAAATGACACTGCCCTTAACTAATTTATCTTCGAGTGTATCACCTGCTAGAGCAGTCTGGTACTCACTATTCCTGTATTGCCTAGTCTTCTTTAGTAATTTACACCGAGTCTGAGGACAAGTACTTGCGAGCCAAGGCCGCTACAGTTATCTACTATCGCCCTTATAGAGTTCACCCAAATCCCGGTATATCTACAGACGTTTTCTGGTTTTCTAGCTATTCTAAACTACCAATCTAGATGGTTCAGAAGAGCTATGACCTGCTCCTGGTTCCTATGATTGGGTCCTTTTCCTCTAGTTACTCCTTTAGCGGTCTAGTTGGTGGAGTGCCTTGTCAAACACTTCGGTCCTGTTCAGTTTGTCCGGTTCTCCAAATATTAATCTGCATGTAGTACCATTAAAAATCTGTGCTACCTCTCTATTCGGGACTTCTCAAATAAGCACTTTACCACCGTATTGGCCCTGTGACTTTCTGCAATTCTGAAGGACTTATCTTGGGTTTGCACTAACTAAATCAGCTTGCATGCCTTTGTATAACTCCTTTATTACACAAATGTCCAGAATCTTCCAATTTTTATATTGGTACAACTACAGTTACAGGGTCTTGAGTTTTCCAAGCCATGATGATAGTTGCTGAATTTATTTTTCTAAATTCAATTTTTCATCTTTTGTGGGAATTGAACTTATACTCTACCGCTTGGAGGTGCGACAACTTCACCACTTTACTAAGTTGCCACACCCTCTGGCTGATTTTATTAAACACTAGTCTATAATATAAAATATATAATAAATATATAAATATACAAATTATACTACAGCATATAATACTTTAATTAGTGATTTAATATTATATACCAAAATTCTATTAAGCATTTAACCTATTAACCACTTAATTTAGAGATTATCTAAAGCGAAGCAGTATTATGCAATATCTGATTAATATATAGAATTTTGATGATCGCTGGCAATGCAAAACAATAAAAACATAGGGTGTAATGACTTAGTAAAGTGGTCAAGTTGTTGCATCCCCAAGCGGCAGAACAAGAGTTCAAATCCCACTGGCGACGAAATTCGAATTTACAGAATATGTTATAGCAGACTGTGTGTAATCTGATGGATCAGTAGATCTATAAACTTGGTTGTACCAGAGGTTATTGGGAAGCTATAGAACTGTAGTATGACATATAAGTTACACAAACCAGGTAAAACAGCTATATAAATTCAGGTATTGAGGCATACAGAAGCTCGCTTGGCAAGATCCAAGTAGAGAGGTAGCACAGATCTTTAACAGCACTACATAAAGGATTATTACTGAAGATCTGGAAACTGGACAAAACAAAGTGTTCGGCAAGACACCATACCAACCAGGCTGTCAGTGTATTCCAAGAAAGAGATCCACTCTTCTAGGCTATCTGAATTGGGAGTTTGGAGACTGGTGAAATGGTAGACAGTCCGTAAAGTGGATGCTAGGGTTTGGGTGAACTTTACAAGGGTAGTAGTAGGTAATAATAGTGGCTTTGGCTCGCAAGTACTCATTTTTAGACTTGGTATAAATTACCAAAAGTCTAGGTTAGCCAGATTGTGGATACAGAAAGCTCTAGCAACAATGCTTCAAGGATAAATTAGTCCTAAGGCTATGGTACACATTTGGAACTCTTGACTGACAAATGTAACAGAGTGTTTCAGTGATACAAGGGGGCAGTGTATATTACAGAGTGTTTAAATAGGTAATTCTCTAGTTGAGTTATAAGTATGGAAGCTAGTATAGAACCTATGGTGTATATCTATACGTAGACTACTTAAATAGCTGCTCAAAAGGCGCACGTGTGGCTAGTTGTACTCTTTAATGTAATTGGGGTTTCATTGTAAGCTTTCTGCCCATTATACTTGAATAAAAACCCCTATACCAAAGAAGCTAGTTAAAAAAAAAAAAAAAAAAAAAAAAAAAAAAAAAAAAAAAAAAAAAAAAAAAAAAAAAATAAAAAAAAAAAAAAGAAAAAAAAAAAAAAATATTCAAAGCCTCAAATATAATAATAATTAGTATTAGCCATTGATCGAATGATTAGATTAAATGAATTGACTTTTGAGTAAAAAAAAAAAAAAAAAAATATTTATAAAGAGAATTTGAGTTAATAAAAATTAATTTGACAGGTTAATAATAACTCAATCAAACTCTAACTCACCTTTAATTAAGAAACAAAATTTATTCTAAAAATCCTAAAAAGAATCATTATTAGCCTATTAATTGCTTTTCACTCTAATTTGTAAGCTATACTGTCACATTATTTTTTTCTATTGCCCAGCATCTATATTTTAAAATAGAACAGGAAAATTCTACATTTCAATACAAATTAGAAGACACTTCTGATAATATATTTGAATACAATTCTATTTCCATTGTACCTTTTGAATCATTTTCGCCATCACAAAACCCTGAATATTTTACTTTTTTTAACCTTGAAGATTCTATTTCACTCTCATATATTTCTAATTCTATTTCTGCTATGCCCGTAGAATCTTTATCACTATGTAATTTTGAATATACTGCTTCATTTCCTAATATTGATTATTCTACCTCCCCGTTATATGCTTCTAAACATCTAACTTCATCACATTACTCTGAACAATCTACTTTATCATTAAATAATTTTGAAAATTTTACTTTAACAAATAATATTTCTGATTGTTCTGATTTTCCCAATATTCAACCACTACAAAATATTAAAAAACACAAGTCAGCTTTTGTTACATCGTCAAACAAAAAACCAAAACCCAGAAAAAGTTGGATGTGAAAGCATATACGAAAAGATAAGTTTGTAAAAAAGAAACAATTTGTTTAGTTAAAGTAAAATAAAATAGAAAAATAGAATTGTATAGTGAATTATTTGTGCTTCTTACTAGCATAAGTACACTTGGTGCTCATTTGCGTATAGTATATCATTTATCAGCAAATAGTTCATTACTCCCATTATCAGGAACATCTAAACAGCCAGTTTCTAAAAAACCTATTAATATAGCCCAAAAAGATCCTACACAATCAATATTAATAGATACATTAAAACATCAACCATTGTTGTCTTCTAAAAAAAAGATAGACTAACCTCCAAACTTCTAGCATGGATAGTTGACGATATGCTTCCATTTAATGTTTTAGACAATAAAAAATTTTATGACTTTGTATATGAAGCTGAATCCCATTATCAAGTTCTATGCCAAGACATATTTAAAAAAAAAATACATGAAGCTGTTAGCTTTGGAGAAATAAAATATTTGATCTTTTTCAAAACACTATAGATATCTTTTCATTTACAATTGATCTCTGGACAAATGCGCATAAACTATACATTGGAATCACTGCTCATTGGCTCGATCCTAATTTTCAGTTAAATAAAATACTTATGATCATTGAAGAATTTCCTTACCCTTATATCAGAGAACATATTAAGGACTGCTTAAGGCGTGAATTTGCAAAATAGAATATTTCAGAAAAATGTATTTCTGGAACAACAGACAATACAACATCAATAGCAATAACCAACCTTAACATAATTCATATTCATTACATAACGCATACCCTTCAGCTTTCTATTACAGACTCTTTAAAATCTAATAATGTAACAGAATTAGTTAATAAAGCTAAAGAGCTAAATAGCTTTTTAGTTAATAAGGATAAATACAGAGAAATGTTAAAAAAAGCACAGGATGAAATTAATAAAAAAACATTTCTTGTACTACAACCCGGATACAATTCTTAGAGCCAATAGCTACAATATCAGTCACACGTTGGAATTCAACGTTTGTACTTTTAGAATGTCTATTGTTGCTATATGAATCCATATAATTACTTACAAAAAAAATGATCCAAGATATTGATTGTGAAATCCGTAAAGATAAAAAAAGCTAGAAATCCTATTATTAAATGAATATGAATTGTTAGACCTTAAAGAACTTGTTAATTTATTAGAACCTTTTGCTAAAGCAACATCTTTAATGGGCAGTGATATGTACCTACCCTACCCTTTCCCTTATGCTTCTGACAATTACAACTCTTTAAGAACATCTATTTAAAATAGAATCGATGCTTATTCATTCAGTTGTTTGTGAAGTTAGAAATGAAATAGAACTTAATATAGCCAGCTAATAGAAAGACCCAGTAATTGAAGGATATTTAACTTCAATTTTAGATCTGAGATTTAAAAGTTTAGACTTTGCTCCTGAAAAATTAGAAAAAACAAAAACATTCTTAATACAGTCTGGACAGTAAAACACATCCAATGTTTATTAGCAAAAACTTTAAAGTATTATAACTTTTTTAAAACAAGCTAAATAAAAAACTCTCTGACAAATTGATAGATTTTTAGATAAACTACATTTCTGTCAGAAGATTTTTTTTTATTCTTTGTTTTGAAAAAGTTATAAAGGATTAAAGTTTATAGGAGTTCAAAAAATTGGTGTTTAATATAGAAAAAAAGAAAATATATATATTTTTAACTAATCAGAATCAATTACACAAAAAATAGCCAATCAAAATTGATTATATAAGCATCAAAAATTGGTGCCTCTATGTATAGATTGGATGTCTTTTACTGTCCTGTACTATACAACAAATGAGAATATTGTTAAATGAAAATGAATATTCAGATGATCGCCTAATAACAAACCATCTTCAAACTTGGCCTCTTTTTTTAACAATATCGCTCTTGCCAAAAAATTCTCTCCAATTGATATTGAATTAAAAACATATTTTGATTTACCTCAAATCATATTATATGATTCTGATGATTTAGAATACAAAACTAAAAATCTGCTTTCTTGGTGGCAGTTGCATTCTAAAACATTACCTTTACTTGCACAATTAGCTCGTCATTATCTAGCAATTTCTGCCACCTCTGTTCCTTCTGAGTGCTTATTTTCAACAGCTAAAAACATAGTAACAGATAAAAGAAATAGGTTACTTCTGGAAACTGTTCATGATTTAGTTTTTTTAAAAGAAAATCATAAAAATTTTAATATTTACTCAGATCTTGAATAGACGCATATAAATTTAAAATATTTTTTTAGAATCAAGTTGATTAGTTAAATTAAATAGTTTCAATTAGTATTATATATATACTAAATACTACTTTATATTTCAATAAATCTTTCGCTAACATTTGTAATAGCTAAAATTAACTATTAAAATTTTAACGTACATATATATATATTGTATTCAATATATGAATATTGTGAAATATAATTGGTGTAATTTTGTCATGTGATAGTTTTTTTAAAAAATCGACTTCAGTTAAAAACTGAAATTAGTAATCAACTCAAGTTAACTTAGTCAAGTCGAATTTTTATGATTGACTTGGTTCACTATATGTATTAATATACTTTGATAATACATACTATATAAATCTTAACTTATTAATACTTATTAAATCTGAATTTTCAATATTATTAATATTTTCACTACTACTATAGTATTCTTTAACTAAATTATTAATCTTTTTGTTTGAACTATCTAAGTTGTACATTAGGGAATTATGGCCAGTTTGACTATATGCTTTACAATGATGAAACTTATTATTAAAATCTTTGTCAACTGAAATATATATGATCGGTATTAATATTACTATTTGCTATTTGAATAATATAAATTCTTAACTTACCCATGTTTGATAAACTTGAATCCTTGATATATTCTATAGTGATATCATCATTTTGATCATAGTTTCTCTGTATACTAACCATCTGATTAATTGAGCTATTCAAGTTGCATATACGCGCATTATGCATCACTTGACTGCAAATATCACAATGATGATATGAATTTTTTTGATTCTCTTTACTGATAATATTATTATCTATTCAAAAAATCTTTTAAACTCTTTTTGCTGATCCTTAATTTCAATGTCAACAAAATCAAAATACAAGAATAATGTTATCAACAATATAGAAAACATATATTGACACACTAAGGAAAAAGGTTCAGCACAACAAGATAGATAAACTTCTTAGAACAGTAACTAGTTTAAAGACTAAACAACAGCAATATAAATGCCTTTACAAAAATTGTATAAAAATTTTCGAAAAAGTGTGCATTTATCTCTGATCCTGAAAATTCGAATAGTAGATACATGACTAAGAAGAGATCAAAACAACACACAAATAAACAAATGTGTAATCCCTTTTAGGAAAGCAATATTGTATATTACCTGCAGCAAACAACAAAAAGAATATGCATATGCAAAATTAACAAATATATATTAAAAAAGAGAAATTTCTAGAAACAAATGGAATTTAATAAAAAAAATACTAGTTACAGACGGGCTCCTTGAATTTGTACATGATATAGCAAATAAAGTACTTAAATATCTAAACAATAGAGAGTTGATAGATATTCTACATATAACAAATCTCACAAAACCAGATGATATAGAGCAATTAGCAAAAGACCTTTCAATCAGTGATCTAAAAAGAATTACAATATTTGACATGCTATTATATAGCCAAATATATGATGCACTCAAGAAAGCAGAAGGGTTGCTACAACAAGATACTATTACGCATTGGGCAGTACAAGTGAAGATAGCAAGTAACAATCCATTATCGATAAATTATATGGTAAATATGAGTGAAAAGAAAATTAAAAAGGAAGAAAGCAAGATAGAAGAACTTGAAAAAGAAGGTTCAGTTAAAAAGCCTCAGTTTTTAGAACCAAAGAAAAGAGATCATTAGAAGATAAAGAAGAAACAAATAAAGATATAGACTTGGTGGCTAGACAATTGCAAGATCTAAGTATCAAACCAAATTAACAAAAAACTTCTAATCGCTATACAAATGAAGAAATAAACAGCATAATAGAAGATAAGTCCTTATATCTTCCAACAAATAATCAGTATATCGAAGATATAAAGACTACATCAAGAGAAGAAAATGCAGAAAGCTCAGTATCAAGAGGAAAGAAAATTAAAAAAGATGAAAAAGCTCCAGTTAACAGCATCCTAAGAGATGCAATCAAGATACAACAAGCAGAGTTAGAACTTAACAACTCAATGATTGTTAATAAACAAGAAGCAAAAAATGAAACACCAATCCTCACAGCCACTATAGAACAAAGTATATAGTCTCTAGAGAATAGAATTTGTAAAGAAGATCAATCCTTCATAGCAAAGGTGCCAATATACAGTCTTTCAGGTAACTCAGCAAAAGAATGTGCTGGGTATGTCAGAAGAATACTTGGCGAAAACAGATACATCAAAGAAGTAGAAAAATGTTTTAGAAAAGGAAATTTCAGGGTAGAGGTGGTGTTTGATTGTGAATATGGAAGAGACTTAGCAGTAAGCAGAATAAAGAAAAAAGAAGAAGATTGGTTAAACCTTATTCCAGAAGAACTAGAAAATTATTGATTCAGATAAGAAAAACAGGAAAAAAATCAAGCAGTACCAAGAAAATACGATCATGAAAGATGCATAAATATGGATTATATTACAATTTGGAATCTATCTCCCAGCAGATGTAAAAGGACAAGAAGTTAAATATATATGCAAGAAACTAGGAAAGATTCAAGATATATATATCAAGTGCAGAAATAGTAGAGCTCTTGCAATAATAGAGTTCAACACAAGAATAGAAGCTGCAGACTTATCTTGGGTACTTCCAATAGGTGACAGAAAACTGGCTCGAGTCTCTATAGACAAAGAAGATCATAAAGAAAGAGACTAGAGACATAAGTTTGTAGCAAAACTAGTAGGAATCACAGAAGGTTTTTCTGAAACATTACTTCTCAGACATCTGAAAGATAGGAAAGCAAAAGCAGTATACATCTCTAAAAAAAAAGGTGGACTAATAAAACAAGTTGCAAAAGTAACCTTTGCTACTGAATCAAAAATGAAAGAAGCATAGAGGAAATCAGTAAGATATAATAACCTTTATCTTTACTAGTTACAATCTATGCAAGAAAATAAAAAAAAGCAAATAACCTCACAAAGAATCAGAAGTATTAGAGTAATGCACAGAAAGGCAGAAGTGGAACAAGCAATGAAGAAAAAGAAGAAGAACCATCAAGAAGAAAAAGATTTAGCAAGAAGTCATCTTTACATAAAGAGAAAAGTTCTATTTCAGATAGAAGCAGCACTAATAAAGAGTATAAGAGAAAATAGAACAATAAAAAAAGACATTCTAACAACAAGCAAAAAAAAGAAAGAAGTTTAGATTACGAGAATACAACAGATAATAGAAGTTTAGCAGCAAGAATAGAATAATATCATATAATGCTTCAAAAAATTATACACCATCTAGATAGACTGAGTGAGCAGCCAATAGCTGCTCAACACTCCTGAATTAGGAGCGCCAGTTGAACTAATAGAAATAGATGAAGAATTTGAACCTTTTTTACAAGAAGGCCTAAATCAAAACTTCAATTAAGAAGAAACAATTCATCATCTAACAAAAAATATATGTAAAGGAAAGGATAAAATAATTGGAAAAGAATCAACAGCATTTAAGAGTAAAAATAATAGAAGCAAAGATAATACAAGTGAAGAATATTTAGAACAATTAATATTGCAACTCACAATAATAACGGTATAAAGAGCAATACTCATAAGCTAGAGTTTGCTTATGAGTAAGCACTAAATAACAAAATAGATATACTGGAGATTGCAAAGTCAAATATCACAAGCAAAGAAGGTAGTTGGCTATCTATTGAGCAAAACAACTTTAGAAGTTTTTGGGCAAGCTCAAACAAAGATAAAAAGAAAGGCTCTGAAGTCAGTTTATTAATAAACAATCGATGGGCAAGCATATAATGAGTGTAAACAAAATAAGTAAATATATAATTTTAGTTAGTTTATTGTTTAAACAATTAGAAATTATAGTTATAATGCTCTATATACCTCCAAACAATGACCAAGAGAAGAAGAAAGCCCAGAAAATAATCATTGAAAAATTTATCAACAGATCTTACAAATCACAAATAATAGTAATGGGAGATTTTAACAGTATAGTAGATCTGAATCTAGACTAAACACAAAATATAGAAAGGAAATATTTTAGAAAAGATCTGATTCTGCTTTGGCTGCAGAGACAAAAATTTCAAGATGCTTTTTAAACTATGTATCCAAAGGTGAGAAAGTATACATGGTCAAATAGGGAAACAAGTACAAAAATTAACCAAATATAGATTACAGATGAATTGTCCTATAGTTTATTTAATATAAAAATACAAGAAATAGATATATATACCAATAGTGATCATGTATCAATAATAGCCAGAATTGATCTAGGCCATTTAAATGCTTCTCAAAGTGCAGCAGTATATAGATAAAAAGAATATACAAGAACAGTTTTTTTTTGCGAAAAGGCATCTAAAGAAAATTGAAAAGACTACAGAAAGCAAATGAATATCTTGCTTAAAAAGAGCACAAAGGTTCAAAATCTCCTAAACACCAAGTCATTACAAGAAAAAGAATTATTAAATTTAAATGATCTTTGGAAGGATATAAGCAGTAATATTCTTGCAGCAGCAAGATGCAACCTCCCAAAAAAGAGGATCTGCAACACAGCACAGAACAGAAAGAAAAAGCCAAAGAGTCTAAATTATCATACACCCTAATGCAATTTGAAAGATGGATTAGTATAGGATATAAGAGTATTAAACTAGACCTTATATATAACTATATTGCAGATCTGATATTAGAGCTGGAGTTCACAAATTAGCAATACAAGACTAACATCAACACAGCTCTAACTTGTTGGTCACATGAACTAATTGATGACTTAAAAGGTTGGTGGAAAATACTATATGCAAGAAGAGTAAGAGAAATCGAACAGTAACGAAAAAAAGAAATAAAGAAAAATATTGAAAAAAGGTACTAAATGATTGATGGAAATAAGGCAAGATACTTGCAAGTCTTTTAGAAAAACTATTTAGAAAGATTCAAATAAACAGACTTCTGGAGGAAAAAAATAATAAGAGAGAACTAATCACTGATCCAGAAGAAGTTTTTAAAAAAACAAGAGAATATTATCAAAAACAATTTAGACCTCAGTCTTTTAACTAAGAGCTATAGGAAAGGAATTGAAAAGAAATCTATAAGCCAAAAGAAGAGATTCAAGAAGGGTGGTATAAGAATCTTGATCAAGATATCTCAGAAGAAAAGTGAAAAGACATGCTTAGAGATTTAAAGAAAAATATTGCTACTGGAGTTACAGAAATTATCTATACATTAATTAAAGCAGCAAGTATACAAGCACATAAAATTTTTCAATATTTGCTGAGTATTGCATTCAGACAGGCAATGTTCTACTAAAATGGAAAGTCTTGCAAATATATCCAATTCCAAAAGATGCAGACTGGCACTACAATTTAAACAATGTTAGGCCTATAGCGCTTTTAGATACATTTAAAAAGTGTGTAATTAAAATGGTAGCTAGAAGACTATCACAAATCCTAGGTGAAAATAATATCTTGAAAGGTTCAAATTTTACAGGACTGCCTGAAAACTTAACTGAAGAACCAGTGCAGATTTTAAATACAATAATGGAAGATGCAGTAGACCATAAAAAAGAACTGTGGCTAGTATTTCAAGATATGAAAAAAGCTTTCGACTAAGTATCTTTAAAGTTATTAGAGCTAGCAATAGAAAGACTTAAAATTCCACAAATAACAATTAGATTTATTATAAACCTCTTTGTAAATAGGCAGTTAAAAATTATTACAGAGCTAGATACAACACAATGCTTTGAAA